CCTACAGGGGCGTCGTCGGGAGAGCACAATGCAAGCTCTCTCCCTTTTCGCCTAGGCGCGCAACTTCACAACGGGTATTGAAAAGACGCAGGGCTGCGCCTCGCAATAGTGCAGCGTTTGTTTTGGTCATGCCTCCCTCTGAGGTTCACCATTTCCTTCTTCCCTCCAGAGGCAAGAACGCAGTGTCAAGTTTTTGTCTGTGGTTGTGACCTCGCGGTAGCCAAGTGCTTGGCCGGAGCCACTTACAACGACGAGAACAAGAATATCAACACCGGTGAACGTTGCCAATGATATTTGAGAGGCTTCAGCGCAGGGACTGTGGCAGTTACTCACCTGCGCCTGGCAATTCTCTGGATGGGCCTCTATTTTATATATATATAAATAGAAAATTATATATATAAAATTATTAAAAAAACAAAAGGAACCGTTTCCTGAACAATAAAGTGAGGTGCCGATACCGGATTAGGTTTTCTGCTCCGTTTTCTTTTATTTACAGGAAGGAAAGTCCTGTGTTGGGTATTGGAGGCCATGACTTATCCTCAGAATCTTTTGCAAAGTTGCTGCATTATTATTTTTTTGACCGGGCTGTGAGATTCAGACATGCTGTGTGTGTGTGTGTTTATGTGTGTAAGAGAGAGAGGGAGGGAGAGAGAAGGGGGGGAAAAGAGTGGGAGGGAGAAAGAGGGAGAGGGAGGAGAAGAGAAAGAGAGGGGGAGGGAGAGAAAGAGAGGGAGGAAGAGGCGGAAGAGAAAGGGAGAGAGAAGGAGAAAAAAAGAGACAGGGGGAGGGAGAGAAAGAGAGGGGGAGGGAGGGAGAGGGAGGTGAAGAGATAGAGAAGGGAGGGAGAGAAAGAGAAGGAGGGAGAGGGGGGAAAGATGGAGGGAGAGGAAGAAGAGAAAGAGAGGGAGGGAGGGAGAAAAAGAGAGAGGAGGGAAAGGGGGACGGAGGGAGATATCACACCCAACACGACCACGAACAAATGCCCAGAGGAATTACTCATGGGCAGAAGGCTCCGGTCACCTCTAGACCGTTTGCACCCTACTTACACTCCAGAGAAAACCCCTGGATCTACTAGCAGACACCGAGCCTTCAACGTGGGAGACACTGTTTTCGCTAAAAACTTTACTGGGGACCCACTATGGCTACCTGCAAAGATGACCCAAGTCACCGGCCCTCGGTCCTACCGGCTCGAGACCACCGACGGGAGGAGCTGGAAACGGCACATTGACCAGCTACGGTCTAGGCTGTCCACTTTTCCCCTCACAGACCAGGAAACCAGAGGCCGGGGGGAGACCTCAAACTTAGAAGAAGAACCAGTATCTGCGCAAGCAGAACACCCCACACACACACACATTAAATAAAAATCAAACATTAAACCAGCAATACTTACCTACAAACAGGGAACCGAGGCAGACGGGTGCTTCACCTGGAAGTAGCAGCCGGACAAGTTCAATTAGCCCAGAGAATCCAGGCGGGAGCAACAGAGTGAACAACTCGACCAACCCGGATACAGCAGGCGGGAGTCGCAGCTATAGGCCTGGCTCAACCTTCCAGGCGGTTCCATCGAGAAGCTTGAGAGCGACGCGGAGCCCGTCCAAACCTGACGACGACCAGAGACATTATGAACCGCGCAAGTCTAGTAGGCGGGTCCGAAGACCCGCCTACTTACGTGACTACGTTACCCCGCCCCTTGGACAGAACCAAGAGGGGAAGGGTGTTCCATATGAGCAGGCTTGAAACCCTGCGTTCCTATTGGTCTAGAAAAGCTGGATCGTGATTGGATGGCTTGAACGTTCCTGATTGGCTCATACAGGATTTGCCGCGATTGGCTGAAACCAAGCGCGGCAAACTCAAAGAGTTGTCATTGGCTGCCTAGCCACGGCCAGCTCTATAAGAACCGCGCTAGGGTTCCTTGTCTCAGAATCCATCTGTTAAATAAAGAGCTGTTGTTCACTACTCAAGCCTCATCTATTCATGAGCTGTTGTTCACTACTCAAGCCTCATCTATTCATGGGACCCACCGACCATACTTAACAATCTCCATGTAGTCCTCAACTTAGTGACCATGCAAAGTTACAACAGCACTGAAAAAAGGGACTAACAACCATTTTTCAGACTTTCGACCATTGCAGCATTCCTACGGGATTTATGTTCGGGTTGCAGGGTCCCTGGGTCGCGCCTTTTGCGACCTTCTGAGAAGCCAGATTCACTTAACAACAGTGGGACCTGCTTCACAACAGTGGCATCCAAAAAAAGGCTAGTAAACTGAGGCCAACTGGGTGGTGAACTAAACCGGAGCAAAACCAGGCGTTGAATTCTGGGAGTTGAAGTCCAGAGGTCTTGAAATCTCCAAGTTTGGTTGCCTCTCCTTTAGATGTTGGTGACCTGAAGAGAAGAGAAGATATCAGAGAGAGTAGAGTAGAGTAGAGTAGAGTAGAGTAGAGTAGAGTAGAATAGAATAGAATAGAATAGAATAGAATAGAATAGAATAGAATAGAATAGAGGAGAGAGAGTAAGAAAAAAAAGAAAGGAAGGAAGGAAGGAAGGAAGGAAGGAAGGAAGGAAGGAAGGAAGGAAG